TTTCTTGCTTCAAGTAAAATAACCTCTATTTTTTTTTCTTTTCTTTTTTTTTTTTGATACAGGGTCTCACTCTGTCACCCAGGCTGCAGTGCAGTGGCACAATCATGGCTCACTGCAGCCTTGGCCTCCCCAGGCCCAGGTGATCCTCCCATCTCAGCCTCCTGAGTAGCTGGGGCTACAGGTGAGCACAACCACTCTCAGTTAATTTTTGTATTTTTTGTAGAGATGGGATTTTGCCATGTTGCCCAGGCTGGTCTTGAACTCCTGGACTCAAGCGATCTACCCACCTCGACCTGAAAAAATGAAGGCTTATAGGTTTGAGCCCCTGCACCCGGCCAGCACTCTCAGAATTGATCCTTGTCATGTTCCTCTCACCCATCACTGTAGCTGAAGTCCCGGAGAAGCCACTGATTACCCTCTAATTTTCCTAGGTGTTGGTTTCTCTGTTAACATAATGGCTATAATTAGAGCTCTTAACCAGGAAAACTTCCCAAATATAACTTCAGTGAACATATGTGCACTGCTCATGCCTGGTTCCCCTGGTACTGTTGCTGCATAAGAAGTCACCCCTTAATTTAGTGGCTTAAAAATGATCACCTTATTTATGCTCTCAGAGTCTGTGGGTTTGGAATTTATTTAATTTAATTTATTTATTTATTTATTTATGTATTTATTTATTTATTTTTTAAGATGGATTCTCACTCTGTCACCCAGGCTGGAGTGCAGTGACACGATCTCCGCTCACCGCAACCTCTGCCTCCTGGATTCAAGCAATTCTCCTGTCTCAGCCTCTCGAGTAGCTGAGATTACAGGCACGTGCCACCATGACTAGTTTTTTTGTATTTTTAGTAGAGATGAGGTTTCTCCATATTGGTCAGGCTGGTCTTGAACTCCTGACCTTGTGATCTGCCCGCCTCAGCCTCCCAAAGTGCTGGGATTACAGCCATGAGCCACTGCGCCCGGCGGGTTTGGAATTTAGACAGCAGGAGTGGCTTGTCTCTGCTGCATGATAGCTGGGGCCTTGACCGCTGGGGTAATGCAGCAGTTGGGGTGTATTATCATCTAAAGGCTCCTTTCCTCACATGTCTGGCCCTGGCTTGGAGCACTGGAGGATGATGTCTGCTGACTGCAGCGTCCATCCGGGTCCTTCCCAGGCGCTGTGGCCTCCCTCACGGCATGGCTGCCTCGGGTACTCGGACTTCACATGGAAGCCCAGGGCTCCAAGATCAAATGCCCCAGCAAGACAGAAGCTCAGCCATCTTTGATGACCTAGAAGCTAGGTAGCACCCATTGTACTGCCTTCTATGGGTTGTGAGTGAGTCTCAAACCTGCCTTGACTCAAGGAAACAGAATTAGACTCTAGGTCTTGATGGGTTGTGGCCAAGTTCTGGAAGCACATGAGTGGGGGATACTGTGACATTTTCATCTTTGGAAAACACCATCTAGCACACCTGAATCTGCTTTCAGGGGGTGTAAAGGGATTTCCACAGCAAAATTTGAAGCCACATGTGGTCAGCACTTTGTACTGTGGAAACAAAGTGCTCTGGGCATCCAGAAAGGGGCTAAGTTTTTTCTTACTGGGATAAATCTGGCTGCATTTTAGGTAATCCTGGAAAATTGATCGACAAAAGCAAAGGACCAAGAAAGCTGCTTATACCAGTGTCTCCTCCCACCCTCAGCCTCCAGTAGCATCGCTATATTTTTCCATTTTATTTGTGTCACTTTAAATAAAGTAAGCTCTCCTTTGCTGTTCTGGTGTATTTAGACATACACGTATCTTGCTATCTTGGGTTCTCACGATTATACTCTTACATCTTTGCACACTTCATTTGGACCCCTTCCTACTACTTTGATTTCCCCATGACTTTATTCAAAATTTGGAGAGAATAAACCCACTTGGCTCTCCTCTCCCTGGTTGCTTTCTCCGCTCATTCTGGCATCTCTTTGCTCCATAAAATTATGCTCAATCAAGTATCACATTATTTTTATCTTTAGTTGTATATGTCGTTCCTGTGTCAAAGAGCTTACCCTGTGGGTGCTGTCCAGCCATCTTGAACATTTTGCAAGGCAAATTTATTTATTTATTATTTTAAGACAGGGTCTCACTGTGTCACCCAGGCTGGAGTGCAGTGGTGTGATCATGGCTCACTGCAGCCTCGAACTTCTGGGCTCAAGAAATCCTCCCACCTTAGCCTCCCAAGTAGCTGGGACTTCAGGCAGGCACCGCCATGCCCAGTTAACTTTTTAAGTGTTTTTCTAGAGACGAGGTCTCACTATGCTGCCCAGGGTGGTCTTGGGCTTCTGGGCTCAAGTAATCCTCTTGCTTTGGCCTCTTAAAATGCTGGGATTACAGGTGAGGGCCCCTGTGCCCGACCTGGCAAATTTATAGAAAATTGGGGCAATATTGAATCATCTTTGTATCCCACTGACGAGCAAGAAGGTAAGATACCATGACTGGCTCAACACAGCTACTACCTGTAAATACACTTCTGTGTTATTCAAACCAGGAGTCAGGAAGGAAAATTGAATGAAAAATATCTTCTGAGTATCTGAATTGGGCAATTGCTGTGGGGAACAGAATGACAAAGAAGCAGTACCCTGCTCCCTAAAGGAGCTTCCCATCTGCTAGGGGTGCCAAAGCATGAACACATAGAAAGGTGAATAGCCACAGCATGGCAGGCAGGATAATGACACCCCTAAAATGTCCACACCCTGATCCCCAAACCTGTGAATGTTAACTTACACGACAAAAGGGATTTTGCAGATGAGATTAAGTTAAAGCTCTGAGGGGGGAAGATGGGCCTAGATTATCCAGGTGGGCCCAGTGTATCACTAGGGTCCTGATAAGTGGAAAAAAGAGTCAAGACAGTTGGAGTTATGCGAGTTAAGATCGGACATGGCTGTCTTTGGAAGACGAGAGGGGCCTTGAGCCAAGGAGCGAGAGCATCTCTAGAAGCTGGCCAAGGCGGGAGGGAACACAGCCCTGTCTACACCCTGATTTTAAAGGACTTCTGACCTTCAGACTGTAGGATAACACAGTTGGGTTGTTTTAAGCCACTAAGCTTGTGGAAATTTGCTATAGTAGCATTTGGAAACTAATACAAATAGCAAAGTTAAGTGAGAATAAGAATCCGAAAAAAAAGTGTTATAGGTCAATGAGCCAGAAATCGCCACAAACTCGAGTTTCTTTCTTTTTTTTTTTTTTTTTTTGAGACGGAGTCTTGCTGTGTCTCCCAGGCTGGAGTGCAGTGGTGTGATCTCGGCTCATTGCAAGCTCCGCCTCCCGGGTTCACGCCATTCTCCCGCCTCAGCCTCCCAAGTAGCTGAGACTACAGGCGCCCGCCACCACGCCCGGCTAGTTTTTTGTATTTTTAGTAGAGACGGGGTTTCACCATGTTGGCCAGGATAGTCTCGATCTCCTGACCTCGTGATCCACCCGCCTCGGGCTCCCAAAGTGCTGGGATTACAGGCGTGAGCCACCGCGCCCGGCCACAAACTGGAGTTTCTACTGCAATCTCATATGTTCATTTGCCTCATCGCCCACGAAAACTCTCATTTCTGGAAAATTAAGGGTGAAAAATAATTAGCTTATGGGAAAAGTAGAGGCAGACCATTCAAGACCTATGGAACTTATAACCAGAGCCTTGTTACTGTTACCAAGAACAGTAACGATGTTAACTGAAATATCAGCTGGCATCACATCTCCCTCCCACAGTACATCCTTTGCAGTTTTATTCCTTGGGCTTCTGGTTTCCTCCTTGAGAATGGAGCATTCTTTTTTTTTTTTTTTTCAACTTTTATTTTAGAATTAGGGGGTACATGGGCAAATTTATTACAAAGCTATAATTTCATGATGCTGAGGTTTGGAGTACAAATGAATCTGTCACCCAGGTAGTGAGCATAGTACCCAATAGATAGTGTTTTTAACCCTTAACCCCCCTCCTTCTCCTGCCTCTTGTATTCCCTAGTGTCTACCGTTCCCATTTTTTGACCATGTGTACCTAATGTTTAGCTCCCACTTATAAGTGAAAATATGCAGTATTTGATTTTCTGTTTATGAATTAATTAGCTTAGAATAATGGCCTCCAGGTGCATCCATGTTGCTGCAAAAGATGTGATCTCATTCTTTTTTATGGCTGCATAGTATTCCATGGTGTATATGTGCCACATTTTCTTTATGACATTTCTTTCTGAGACTGACCTGCTTCATTAAAATAAAAAATACAACCTGAAGGTAGCCTGTTTGCCCAAGCATTTCTTTTTAAACACTGGGGGATATGTCTTTGCAGATTCTTCATCTTCACTTACAACTTCCCCAGATTTAAAAAAAAAAAGTCCAACTAAAAATTATAAAGCTGGCTCCTACTTGCATTAATGGAAGATACTTCTGCCAGTAGTCCAATTTTTTCTTTTTTTTTTTTCTTTTTTTTTTTTTTTTGAGACGGAGTCTCGCCCTGTCGCCCAGGCTGGAGTGCAGTGGCCTGATCTCAGCTCACTGCAAGCTCCGCCTCCCGGGTTTATGCCATTCTCCTGCCTCAGCCTCCCAAGTAGCTGGGACTACAGGCGCCCGCCACCTCGCCCGGCTAGTTTTTTTTGCATTTTTTAGTAGAGACGGGGTTTCACCATGTTAGCCAGGATGGTCTCGATCTCCTGACCTCGTGATCCGCCCGTCTCGGCCTCCCAAAGTGCTGGGATTACAGGCTTGAGCCACCGCGCCCGGCCAGTAGTCCAATTTTTTCTTAAAGTTTTCATACAGTGCTAAAGTTTTCTATTTAATTCTGAAAACCCTATTGCTCATGGCATCAAAATATCAATCTGCTTGGGAAAACCGATGAATAGCAAACTGTAATCGGTAGATGCTACGAGGGCTGTTGGTTCAAATAAGGGTGGGAGCGGGTGGGGGAGGCCTCTTGCTGGAGGTGGGCTTGAGCTGAGCCTGGAGAATAAGTCAGATGGCAGCTTACAGCATCACTTTCCAGGTGGGAGGAGGAAAATATGGTGCCCGATCCAACAATGGGGTGTCCCTGGTGGGCTGTGTTTGGCTCAGACACCCCAGTTGTTGTGGTTCTATTGGCCAGAGCAGCTGCTCTCCCACACCCGCAGCTGCTGTTCTCGTGGTCCTGGGCTTGGGCCTGGAGAAGCCCCTCTCCAGGAGGCTGGGCCAGCCCTACGCTCACACCTAGAGATACTGCAGCTTCCTCTGTTGGCCTTCAAGCCACATGGCCCCTAATTTCCCCTTCAAAGCAGGCTCCTGGGCTTTTGAGGGATTGTCACTCTTGGAGGAAATAAAAATGTAGAAAAATACAGCAGAGCACTCTAGAGAATATGTACTTTCTCAACTTTCCTAGCCACCTTCCTTCAAGCAGTTATAACGCTTCTGGCTATCATAGGACATTGAGAGGGAAAAGGCCTCATCGACATAGCAACTGTAGGCTAGGTGGGCCTTTGGTGCACATAACCCCCAGCACCCACAGATATCCGGGCCTCCTGTGTATGAATGTGTGCCAAGAATTTAGACCTACTTCTTGCCTTCCGGGCTCTCTATTCCTCATCCTCCATCCAAGTGGCCGTCTTGTGCAGGTAATTCTTTTCTCTCCCCTCACCCTCTCCCCCTGCTTCTCCCTACTGTCTCTCCCCCTGTTTCTCTCTGAGTCTCTTTCCCCCTTCTGTCTTCCAGCGCATCCTCTGCAATTCGAGGTCGTCCTCTTCTCCAGCTGCCGCTGCAGAGCCCCAAGTGTGGTCCCCACGCCCCCTCACTGTACACTTCGGCAGGAAGGTGCTTCTGTGTCCCCCGTCCTCATCCTCCACTGCATCTGTCCTGCTTCGTCTCTTCCTCCTGGACTCAGGTTGGCCTTAGGCCCTGCTCCAAAAGGAGGACATTCACCAGAGCTTCAGACTTCCTCCTGCTGCCGCTGCTCCTCGGAAGCCAACCTGGTGACTGCGGATGTCTAGGCCCAGACCGTGCCTGGCAGAGCAGCCACGGGGTGGAGAAACAAGTCCTCAAGAGGGCTGCGAGGAGAGCCACGGAGACGGGTCAGGGAAACTGAGGCCACACAACTGGGAATAAGAAGGTGGGGTGCTGGGGGGCTTGTCAATGTGGTTCTTCCACAGAGGATGGGAAGCCCCTTCCTTTCTGCCCAAGAAAGTATCTCCAGCATTCACCGAAATCTCCCCAAGGGGGAAGCGCCTCAGGAAGGGGAACTAGGAAGGAAATACAGGCTGGTGCTTACTCCACCCCCATCACAAAGAGGCTCAGAGAGAGACTTGGGAACGAGATGCATATGCAATTTTTTAAATCACTCATTCAAGAAATAATAATGAAAAATGAGTTACAGGCGATGGATTAGTAAGGGCTGATCAGATTGACTGTGTAAGTGAATTACATTTAAATTACACTTGAAGGAGCTCTATCAAGAGCAATTATGGGTCCTTCGGGAGGCTTTAAAAAGAGGAGGGATGAAACTTGGTTAAAATGGGGGCTTGTTAAAGGCAAGAAGAGTACAGAATGGTTGAGGTGACTTTCTCTGTGCCCCACTTTCAACCCTGCTCTGCCAAGCAGGCTTGCAGGTGGGAATATTTGCTTGCCCTGGGTTCAGCAAGTGCTGCCTCACCTAACCGGCTTCCAAGGTATCAGGTTTTAAGCTGGTGTGGCAAGAATGATATTGGCCTTTGTGTTCTAAAGGAGTGGCATGAAGCACAGTGGACCTTGATCTTCAGTTGACGCCACAATCTCCCTAATCCACTGATCTCCAGTCATCCCACTAGATTAGCCACCCTATCAGGCGGTATTTTTCCATGTCCCATGTGCTCAAGGACGAAGTTCTAAAAGCAAGCTTGGAAGCTTACGCGATGCAGTACAGTGTCAGGGGTGGGCAGGGGAGAGAAAAGCAAAGGATTTACATTTGTTTTAGAAACTGCTGCCTAAAGATAAGCTTGTCTGTGCAACTATATGACTTCTGACACCGAGGCAGGGAGGATTGTGAAACCAGGATAGAAAGAATTTCAGACAGCAAATAAATACACATTCGCTTTAGCCAGGGCGTGGGGTGGGGAGGTGGCTGGGAAGGGACTGAGTCTATGAAGAGGCCTAGAGTAATAGTTTTTGAAGCGTTACTTATCTAGTGCTAGGCGGCAGAGTTCATTTTGTTTGTATGCAGTGATTATTTGCAGTCTACATGCAGAAAACCAGTTTATCTAATGAAGCGCAGGGCTACAAATAAAGGTTTTTTTTTTTTTTTTTTTTTTTTTTGAGACGGAGTCTCGCTCTGTCGCCGGGCTGGAGTGCAGCGCCGGATCTCAGCTCACTGCAAGCTCCGCCTCCGGTTACGCCATTCTCCTGCCTCACTTCCCAAGTAGCTGGGACTACAGGCGCCGCACCTCGCCGGCTAGTTTTTGTATTTTTAGTAGAGATGGGTTTCACCGTGTTAGCAGGATGGTTCGATCTCCTGACCTCATGATCCGCCCGTCTCGCCCCCAAATGCTGGATACAGGCTTGACCCCGCGCCAGCCCAATAAAGGTTTCTTAATAGACCCAGGCGACTGCCATGGGCCTCACCCTAACTGAGGGGACACAGGGCCTTACCATCAGGGACTAGGCTTTGGGAGGCACTGAGGCAAGTTGGAGAGTTAGAAAAGGAGTCAGCCATGAGTTATGTCCTGGTTATTACCAAGAAATAATCTAAAAAATGAAAATAAAGATGCATATCAGGAGTTGGAAGCAATGTTTTACTGAAGGGCAGTCCGGAGACATGCATCTGTCTCCAGGTGTTCAAATGCACTCTCCTCTCACTGAGGGGGCCTGAAAGCCTCCCCGTGGCTGCTCTGGGTCCCAGGTGCGTCCAGACGTCGCCAGACACAGCTCTGTCAGGTGAGGCAGGCACCAGGGGAGGAGGCCTTGGCTTTGTTAATTGTGCAGAAGAGCGGGGACTTTGATGACAATTTTTTTAATCTAATGACAAGCTATTTCCTTTACCAATAGCGTCCCGAAGGGCAAATTCTAAAACCAAGGCCATTTGATAAAGCCTGGGGAATTTATTGCAAGGCAGATGGACACAGCTGCAGCACATAAGAGTACGTGCGTGGGGCTCCAGCCCGGCCACGGTGGGAACTTTTCTCAGCAAAGGGCAGCACTGCTGGCTTTGCTGGGGCGGCCTTCCCAGGAAGATCCCAGGGGAGATGGTCTGAGGTGTGTGAACACTGTGAATGTCACGGACAAAGCTCAGCGTGGGACCCCATGGGACTTCAGGTTATTAAGATGTAAATGTTGGCCGAAAGCTTATGTGTGAATTTTATTTTTAAGTTGTGACTTCCTTTCTGCCTGGGCCAGTGCACAAGCTGGAGGAGGGAGAGTCGGTATCACTCTGCAAGAGAAGTTTCTTCAGGTTTCTGGGTGTGTTCTTGAGTTAATAGAAATCTGACACCACTGAGAAGTAACTGACAAAGGCTTTCCGGCCCCGAGGCAGGGTGTCACGTACTGGCCCTGACCAATCCCATTTGGAGCTGAAGACTCCAGAACATGGCAGAAGGTCATTTCTGCAGGAGTGTTAGCTGTTCTGCAGCTGAAAGAGGAACTACAATTGAAGGCAGGAAAGCAACGTTGTGAAAATGCCTATGGCTGCCACTGAGAGTTACCAAACAGCCTCAACAGTCTCCTAAGAAATGATCGCTGGGGACACATGTTTTCAGACTCTCATTGCATGCCCTGTATGTACCTGTTGTAAAGTCGAGAAATCACACCAGCACCAGCACTGCTTTCCTGGTCACCTGTTGAAAATGTAATGGACATGAAACACTAAAAACAGCATTAAATTCAGCGGCTTTGTGGCTTCCCAGTAGCGTTTTTTCAAAAAATTGTGTTTAAAAACATTTTTCTATAGGCAATATTCACCTAGAATGAAACACTTGGCTAGAATAGCTTATTTTATGATCTTAGATTTTCTCTGTGTTGCTGTGTCTCTCTCCCCCCATTTCTGAGTTCTGAGTTCTCCCCCCATTTCTGAGTTCATGGTAATGATCTGACCACTGAGCTTTTTCACAGAACTAGGCTAGGAGGACGAAATATTGAGTTAGGAGAAGTTTTCAGCCAGCAATTTCCCAATAGTACATGATTTCCCTTTTTATCTCCTTTTTCTTCTTCAGAGGAAAGCAGGGTGCGTTCTGGAGTGAGGACATGACTATAAGTTGTAGGCAGGAAATACTGTTTCATGACACCAAATTTTAAAAGAAAGAGACTTTAGAAAATGGTCATATTTTGGTCGGGCACAGTGGCTCATGCTTGTTATTCCAGCACTTTGGGAGGCCGACGTGGGAGGATCACTTGAGGTCAGGAGTTTGAGACCAGCCTGGCCCACATGGTGAAACCTCGTCTCTACTAAAAATACAAAAAATTAGCCAGGCATGGTGGCGGCGCCTGTAATCCCAGCTACTCGGGAGGCTGAGGCAGGAGAACGTTTTGAACCCGGGAGGCGGAGGTTGCAGTGAGTTGAGATCGCACCACTATACTCCAGCCTGGGGGACACAGCAAGACTACGTCTCAAAAAATTATAATAATAATGATAAAATAAAAAAGAAAATGGTCATATATTTAAAGTCTACTGTTAATATTTTGTTAGATGTCCCTAACTCCTTAATGCTTTGTAGACACTTAAAATGTTGTTCACAAATCCCAATGTAAGCCCATGAAATTGACCTGAGTGGTTACACTTTTCCTAAAACCCTGGGGATTTTGTTTTAAAAGGTTAATGTGGTTTTTTAGTTAGTCAGAAGGTAATTATAGATCCTTCCCTGGGTGCAAGTGATGTCAAGGGTCTTCGGGGATACGAATTAAAGAGCAGACTCTGGCCCTGATCTCTGTATTGACGACCTCCTGAGAAGGGAGGCCTTGCTCGTGCTGAAAGGAGCTTTTGCTACCTGGGGTCCCACAGGTTTGGGTGCAGGCAGGAGGAGCGGCAGTAAGAGGGCCCACTGTGGGCCCACAAACATTGGGCTGGGACCTCAGATTCACACTTATACCTTGTTCTGGGGAAAAAATGAAAGCGGCTCAAGCCTTTCTTAACCCCTGGGAGACACCGGCAGGGAAGAGACCACAAAGAGCAAGACAGCTGTGACAAGTGCACAGTCACCCCGGGCCTCAGGGCTCTCCTGTTTCCACACACTGTCCAAACTCATCATCTAGCTCTTGGCCTGCTCTGCCCAGCCCTCTTCCTGACCTTTGATGCTTATGTCTCCACTCCCAAAATAGATCAGGAAACTGTTGATGCCACAGAAAGATCTGGCTTTGGAATAAGTAAGCCTGGGTTCAAATCACCTGCCTGTACACATTTATAACATTGGACTTTATGTTCCTACCCTGTACAATGGGAACACAGGACCAATGATTCAGGGTGCTGGGGAAGTCTAAAGTAGGTAACATGTGTCAGACACATAGCGCAATGCCTGGCGCATGACAGCTGATCCGTAAAGGTTACTTGTCCCTCCTGCTTGTCCTAGGAGGAGCTAGTGCCGGGATTCACCTTAGGGGCATGTGGCTGTCGGAAACAGGGCATTGCGTCCAGGCTAAGTGGCTTGCCAGATGCAAGATCATCTGTTTTCCTGTTTCTAAAAAGGAGATAATGTCATAAGGTTACTGTCAGGATTAAAATGAAAAATGATAGAGCATGCCTGTCGCATCATAGGAATTTGATAAATGTTGGTTTCTGTCTTTAAACTTCTTTGAAATATGCCATCCCCCACCCTTGTGATGGCCTCATAGGCAGTTGCATCCCTTGAACTCTGTTCTGGACCACTGGCCACCCCTGCCTCTGCCTCACGCATCTGTCACTGCCGTGGGAGGGGTCTACGAGGCACTGGGTGACTCAGCCAGGTGCAAAGGCAGACATGAGGCTCCGTGGCAAGGCTGTGGGATTGTCCCTTGCAAAACAAGCCTCCCTTCCCTTTCTATCTTTATGACTACCCTTGCTGTTCTGTCACCTGATTTTATGTGAGAAACCAATGCTGGGGTAGGAACAAAGTTTCCTGCTGATCTCTGACCATGCCTCATTTGTTGGAGTGGTTCTGAGCTGTCACATCCTCCCACTTGCCCCCTCCCCAGGGCTGTTCTTGGAGACAGCAGCATGATTTGAGCCCACGAAGGAACAATCAGGCTCAATAAACCTAAGAGAAAATCTAAGAATAATCTAATGTTCTCAGTGCTCAGGTCTAAAGAGGAAGTGACCTCATTTCATGAGGGACAGTCATTGCTAGTTTAATAGGATAACCTTTCTCATTATCACAGATATAGCAGACTAGGTGTGTAATCATAGATAAAATAAAAAATTGTAGACAATTTTGAAGAAAAAACCAGGAGTATCTTTTGAGATTACTTAAGGGAATACAAGGAATCTATATATCCCTTGGCATAAGATGCCCCATACAGTGTGTCCAGCCCATCAGGTATTTCATGAAGCACTTTCAAGTGGATAAGAGGTAGGAGACCAGCAAGATTCCACTGGTATTCTGCAAAGTGGAGTGTGAAATGCAAAGTTGTTTTTTTTTTTTTTTCCTGCCAGAATTTATACATCCGATGCCAAACCTAAGGAATAAAGGAGTAAATGGCCAGAAGGAAGAGGGATTTGATTGTCAGATGGTTAACTGTGGTGTGACAGTATTCCATTAAGAATTTTGAAACATTCAACCTAAGTTCGCTTTGCTTAAACAAAACCCAAACGGAAAGCATCTAGAGATGCACACACGCAGCAGCGCTCTGCGAAATGTCTGTGTTTCACGTGGTGCTGCCTATTTGCCTGACGAATCTCAATTCCACCCCACTCTCCCTGCCCTTCTCTGTAGGAGCTGGAAGCCTGCAAACTACATTTCCCAGAATACCCAGCCAGCTTACTTCCCAGTAGCCTCTGCCAATGGGAAACACTGGTGGGAGCTTGGAAGGAGGGTAGAAGGGAGAAAGAAGCTGATTTTATTTCTCCTTCTGCTGAAGTCTCTGGCAGTGGCAGCAGTAGCAGCAGTTGCGGCAATAGCAGTAGCGGCGGCGGTAGGTGACTGAGTTTCTGCTCAGGTGGAGTTTCAACAGCAGTGGGGGCAGGGGGTGCTCTTGCAGCCTCTGCAGCAGGGCATTCCTGGGCTCTGGCAGCATCAGCATCCGTGACAGGCAGCCCTTGGTGGGAGTTTAGTTTCTTGGCTTCCTGAAAGATTTCCAGTAATGGCCGTGGAGCAGCGAGTATCACAGCCGGCCCAGCCACAGAGCAGTCACCGACTCTGTCTGGATCGCACCATTTTTCCCTTCGTTCAGCCAGCCTTAGGATGGTAGTAGCTTCCTGCGGTTACTAATCTCGGAATGATCTCGGCTTTCCCCTTTTGTTCTCCTCCAGCCCTTCAACACATTTACAGACCATTTCTGAGGTTAACTTTCTTCTACTTGAAATTCCTAGAGTAGTATCCGTTCTGCTGACTGGACATTATCCAGTACACACATTTATAAAGTAAACGCAAATTTTAAGGCAAATCAAATACAATCTCATTTTGTTTAATTCCTCACCCCAGTTGCATTTGTGGGCTTATAAAAGGAAAGAGTAAGCAAGTCTTTCTCTCAGAAGTTTGACAACAAAACTCAGTTCCTTGTCACATACCCTGCAGCATCCACCAAAGAGGTCACCATGACAAGTATTCTTGAACAAGAGACTTTCTTTTGAGAGATCTCTGTTCATAACCATAATGACATTAATAGTAGGTACCCGTTCAATAAGTGTCTTTTATATATTAGGCATTTCAAATATGTTATTTCATTTAATTATCAGTTATAATAATTGTCTATCTATCTATCTATAGACAGGGTCTTGCTGTGTCACCCAGGCTGGAGTGCAGTGGCAAGATCTCAGCTCACTGCAGCCTTGACTCCCCAGGCCCAAGTGATCCTCCTACCTCAGCCTCTTGAGTAGCTGGGACTACAGGCATGTGCCACCATGCCCAGCTAATTTTTGTATTTTTTTGCAGAGATGAGGTTTCACCATATTGCCCAGGCTGGTCTTGAACTCCTAGGCAGAAGCGATTCACCTGCCTCAGCCTCCCAAAGCGTTGGGATTTCAGGCATGAGTCACCACACCCAGCCTAATGGCTTTTATTAGCAATTGATAAACTGGGCAGCACTTAGTCGATAAAATAGACAAGAGCTGCACTGGGAATGGCAGAACAGTAGGATTTTGTAAGGTGGTTTGAGCAGGAACAAGGAAACAGTATAGTACAAAAAAGCAGATTGGTTAATATCCGCTTACTTGGTTATTTCCGGTTATCTTGGTTGCTTCAGGTTGCTTTCCTTGTGTGGATTGAAGCAGAGGGAACTTCCTTTATCATGCTGACTCAGGTCGACTGGACCCTCCCCCCCCTTTTTTTGGCAACCTGGCCTGTTTTGGGATTTTCCTGTTTTTAAAAGTTTTAATTTGATTACGTGGCACTTAACATGAGTGACTCCATTTTGGGTTGGCCTCTTGGAGCCCAGTGCAGGAATTCAGTCCAAAACAATGGCCTCCCCCAAATTTTATTTAACAGTGGCTGTGCACCCCTCTCTTTTTAGTATGCATACCTTTTGCCATGTGACTAAGCCATCCTTCCTATCTGGTGTTGCAGTCGATTTCTTCACTCCCCAGAGTTTAAGATGGTCTTGTGAATTACTCTGGCTTACAAAATGAGCCAGAAGAGATATGTGAGTTCCAGAGGCCAGACTCAAGAGGCCTGGCAAATTCTGCCTTCACCCACTTGGAACATTGTCCTTTAAAGGCCCTGAAAGCAGCAGATCTTGCCATTGGAGGATGAGAAGCCACATGAAGAAGAAAGAAGACGCCCCAGACAGCAGTGCAGTACCACCTTCCAGAGATGCGAGTGTGACCGTCTTTGGTCTTCTAGCCCAACTGCTTTCCCTGAATGCAATGCATAAGCAGGCCAGGCAAAACTAGAAGGGGAAGCTGCCCAGCTAACCCTCAGAATTATGAGAGATAAAAAATCATTGTCTTAATTTGTTTGCATTTCCTAGAATTTTAAATAACTGAAAACATGCATTATGAACTCTTTTTCTCTGGCTGAGTATGGTGGCTCATGCCTGTAATCCCAGCACTTTAGGTGGCCAAGGTGGGTGGATTACCTGAGGTCAGGAATTTGAGACCAGCCTGGCCAACATGGTGAAACCCCGTCTCTACTAAATATACAAAAATTAGCTGGGCATGGTGACTGGCACCTGTAATCCCAGCTACTCGGGAGGCTGAGGTGGGAGAATCGCTTGAACCCGGGAGACAGAGGTTGCAGTGGGCCGAGATCACGCCACTGCACTCCAGCGTGGGCGACAGAGCGAGACTCCGTCCCAAAGGGGGGAAAAAAAGAACTCTTTTTCTCCAGCTTCTCCCACTTAGCATAATTATGTTGAAATTCAGCTGTGTTTTCCTGTGTATCAATAATGTATTTCTTTATATTGCCAAGTAGTAGTCCATTGTATGTATACACCATAGTGTGTTTATCCATTCAACCATTGAAAGACATTAGGGTTGTTTTCTGTTTTGGGTTGTTAAAAACAAAGGTTTCGTGAACAATTATCTACAAGTCTTTCTGTGGATATAAGTTTCTATTTCTCTTAGGTAAGTATCTAAGGTCATAAAATAAGTATATACCTAAATTTTGAAGAAACTACCAAACTGTTTTACAAAATGGTTGCATTATTTTACATTCTTACCAGCCATGTATGAGGGTGTCAATTCCTTCACATTCTTGTCAAAACTTGGTTAATTTTGACCATTCTAAAAACATGTAATGGGTCTGGGCGCGGTGGCTCACGCCTGTAATCCCAGCACTTTGGGAGGCCGAGGCGGGTAGATCACGAGGTCAGGAGATCGAGACCCTCCTGGTTAACACGGTGAAACCCCATCTCTACTAAAAATACAAAAAATTAGCCGGCTGTGGTGGTGAACGCCTGTAGTCCCAGCTACTCGGGAGGCTGAGGCAGGAGAATGGCCTGAACCCAGGAGGCAGAGCCTGCAGTAAGCGAGATTGCAACACTGCACTCCAGCCTGGGCGACAGAGTGAGATTCTGTCTAAAAAAAAAAAACAAAAATGAAAACACACACACACACACAAAACATGTAATGGTATCCCATTGTGGTTTTAACTCACATTACTGTCAGAGGCATTGGAACCAGAGTGACTCCATCTTGAGCAGGGGCTGGATAAAATAAAGCTGAGACCTTCTGGGCTGCATTCCCAGGAGGTGAGGCATTCTTAGTCACAGGATGAGATAGGAAGTTGGCACAAGTTACAGGTCATAAAGACCTTGCTGATAAACCCGGATGCAGTAAAGAAGCTGGCCCAAACCCACCAAAACTAAGACAGTGATGAAAGTGACCTCTGGTTGTCCTTACTGCTCATTATATGCTAATTATAATGCATTAGCATGCTAAAAGACACTCCCACCAGTGCCATGACAGTTTACCAATGCCATGGCAGCATCAGGAAGTTACCCTCTACGGCCTGAAAAGGGGAGGAACCTTGACTTCCAGGAATTGCCTACCTCTTTCCTGGAAAACTCATGAACAAGTCACCCCTTGTTTAGCATAAAATCAAGAAGTAACAATAAGTATAAGCAACTTAGCAGCCCATGCTGCTGCTCTGTCTATGGAGCAGCCATTCCTTTATTCCTTCGCTTTCTTTGTTTTTTGTTTTGTGTTTTGTTTGTTTGTTTTGAGACAGAGTCTCACTGCGACGCCCAGGTTGGACTGCAATGGCACGATCTTGGCTCACTGCAACCTCTGCTTCCTGGGTTCAAACGATTCTCCTGCCTCAGCCTTCCGAGTAGCTGGGAATACAGCTGTGCACCACCATGCCTGGCTAATTTTTGTATTTTTAGTAGAGATGGGGTTTCACCATATTGACCAGGCTGTTCTCGAACTCCTTACTTCAAGTGATCTGCCTGCTTTGGCCTCCCAAAGTGCTGGGATTACAGGCGTGAGCCACTGAGCCTGGCCTATTCCTTTGCTATCTTAAGAAACTTGGTTTCAGTTTACTCTATGGACTCGCCCTAAATTCTTTCTTGTGCAAGGTCCAAGAACCTTCTCTTAGGGTCTGCATCAGGACCCCCTTCTGCCCTTTCTGGTAACAGTACCATAATGACAAATACTGTCGAGCATATTTTCATGTAATTATTTGCAACTTGTGTATCTTCTTTGGTAGAGTGTCTGTTAGAATATTTTGCCTATCTAAAAATTGGGTTTGTTTTCTTATTATTGAATTTTGAGAGTGTGTTATATGTTCTGGACACAAGCCCTTTATCAGAGATATGGTTTGCAAATATTTTCTCTTAGTCTGTGACTTTTCTGTCTTAACAATGTCTTTTGAAGAGCAGGTGTTTTAGATTTTGATGAAGTCAGATGTATCAATTTATGATTTTAATAAATCATGCTTTTAGCATAGTATTTAAGATATCTAACCCAAGGTCACAAGAGTTTTTGTCTAAAGGTTTTAGTTTTAGGTTTTGCGTTTAGGTATATGATCCATTTTGAGTTAGTTTATATATATTGTACAAGGTAAGGACTGTGGTTTTTTCTTTTTGCTTATAGATTACCACTTGTGCCAACATCATTGTTGTAATGATAGGATAGAAATCACTGTCTTTTCTCCACTGACTTGCTTTTGCATCTTTGTAAAAAGTTGGTCATGCAAATGAAACTGACCCAATTTTCCCTTAGAACTGATAGGAAAAACTGTATACAGTTTTTTGTTGTTGTTGTTGTTTTTAATAAACATTGAAATGGACTATCCTGGTTTTAAAACTTGCAAAACTTACGTTTGTCTTATCTGAGTTTCTTTCTCAGGAAACCAACTGTCAGGCCTCCCAGATAGTATCAGAAAGCTGAAGATTTCCAGATCACTGCATCCTAACAACACGGTGCCAGAACGCTGATTCAACTACCCGCTGCCTGTTGAGCAACTCCTACATGAACTCCTAACTTTATTTGGTTACAGAGACAGATTTTAGACTTGTCTCCCATATCCTGGCTGGCATCACCAGCAATAAAGCCTTTCTTCCTGGCAGTACTTGTTGTCTCAGTGATTGGCTTTCTGTGTGGTGAGCAATTAGACCTAAGCTGAATCCCTGGCATTCACCAACACATAAATGTGCAGTTCTGTTTCTGGACTCTCTCTTCTGCTTCATTCATCTGGTTTTCTAACTTTATGCCAAAATTGCACTAGTTTGATTACAGTTCCTTTATAATAAGCTTTGAAATAACATTATATTAGGCCTCCAAATTTGTTCTTCTTTTGAAAACTGTTTTGGCTCTTTTAGGTCCTTGCATTTCCATAAAAGTATTAGAATCAGCTTATGAATTTCTCCAAAACAAAAAAGCCTACCGAGAATTTGATTGGGATTGCACTGGATTTATAGACTAATCTGGGGAGAACTGACATCTTAACAATATTGAGTCTTTCTCCCATGAACACAGTGTATTTCTTTATTTGTTTAGGTCTTCTTTGATTTTTCTCAATGATGTTTTATGGTTTTCAGTATATAGATCTTTCAGAGTTTTGTCAGATTAATTCTTAAGTATTTAATATTTTTGACCTAATTGTAAAAGGTATTATTTCTTTCCATTTCAATTGCCAATGGGTTATTGCTAGTATATAGAAATGCAATTGATTTTGCCTATAACTTTGCTAAATTTATTTATTAGTTCTAGTAGCTTTTTCATGTGAATTCCATTGGCTAGTCTACATAGACAATCATGTTTTCTACAGATAAAGATAACAGACATCCTTGTCTTATTCTGGATCTCTGGGGGAAAATTCAGTCTTTTACCATTATGTATGGTATTAGTTTTAGCTATCTGTAGAACACCTTTTATAAGATTAAGGAAATTCTTTCTATCTTTTTTTAAGGAGGGGGTTTTTTTTTTTTTGAAGAGAAATGGATATTGCATTTTGTCAAATGCTTTTTCTATATTCATAAGGATGATCACATATTTTATCTTTTTCAGTGGTGAATTACATGGATTGAATGTTAAATGTTAAACCAACTTTGAATTCCTGGTATAAACCCTACGTAGTCATGATATATTACCTTTTTTATATATTGTTGGATGTGATTTGCTAAAATTTTTGTTTAAAACATTTCCAACTTTGTTTATGATGAATATTGGTTGGTTGTTTTCTTTTCTTGTAATGTCTTTGTTTGGTTTTGATGTCAAGGGAATAGTAATCTAATAAAATAATTTGGAAACTATTCCCTCTGCTTCAATTTTTTGGGTAAGTTCATGTATAATTGGTATTATTTACTCCTTAAATGTTTAATAGAAATCATAATTGAAGCCATTTTGACCTGATGCTTTATTTATGAGAAATTAACTATAATATATTTAACAGTTATTTCGGAATGGTATTTTCTTTTGGAGTAAAGGACTTTCTTTAACATTTCCTGTACTGTGAGTCCTCTGATGAAGAGTTTTTCCAGCTCTCGTATGTCCCAAAATGTGATTACTTTGACTTTGTTTTTGGAAAATATTGTCACTGGATATAGAATTCTAGATTGATAGGGTTGTGGTTTTTTTCCTGCACTATATTTTTTCTTGTATATCTTTGATTTTAAAAAATCTGATGTCATCCTCATTTTCATTCCTTTGTTCATAGTATCTTTTTTTTAAGGTGCTTTTTGGTCTTCAAAAATCTGACTATGAAGTGTGTTGCTAAAGTTTTATTTGTGTTTCTTAGGCTTTTTTTTTTTTTTAACTTCTTGGATCTACGGTTTTATAGTTTTCATTAAACTTGGAAAAATTTTTGGCCATTATCTGTTGAAATATTTTTTCATGCCAACCTCTCTCTCTTCTTTTTCAGCAATTCCAGTTACATGTCTATTAGGCACTTGCAATTGCCCCATAGCTCACTGATGCTCTTTCATTAAGAAACTTTTTTCCCTCTGTGTTTCCTTTTAGGTAGCATCTTTGCTATGATTTCCATTTCACTTTTTTCCCCTTCTTCAATAGCTAATCTGCTAGTAATCCTATATAGGTTTTTTTTTTTTTTAATCTCAATATTGGACTTTCCATCTGTAGATGATTGAGTCTTTTCTAAATCTTCCATGTCTCTATTTGACCTTTTAAACATTTAGAATACAGCTACAGTAACTGTTTTAATGTCCTTTTCTGTTTATTCTATTGTCTGTGTCAGTTCTGTTTCGATTTCAGTTTATTGATTATTCTCTTCATTATAGCTAATGTTTACCTCCTTCTTTTTGTGATGAGTAAGTTTTTATTTGATGCCAGCCACTATAATTTTATCTTTTTGGGTCTTGGGTATCTTTGCAATCTTATAAATGTTCTTCAGCTTTGTTTGGCAATACAGTTAAGATACTTGGAAACACTTGAATACTTAGAGTCTTGCTTTTAAGATTTTTTAGGTGGTACTACAGCAGTGCTCAGTTTAGGCATAATTATTCCCCACTACTAAGTTAAGACCCTTCTGTGTGCTCTATTTATTGCTTCAGGAATCATGGTCTTAAATGTGGCTGGTAAGAATAGGTACTATTTCTAGCTGTGTCTGAGTCTCAGACATTATTTCTTCTAACCCATTCACGTGGTTCTCTCAGCCTTGGGTAGTTTTCTGTCATGCATGCACCAACCAATATTCAGAGGAATACTTAAGGAGGTCCCTCTGCAAAACCCTAGAACGCTCTGTGCACAAATCTCTTCTCTCTGGGAATCTGCTTGTGAGTTCTCACTGCTCTGCTCTGGTTTTTCCAACCCTCAGCTCTGTCTCCCCAACTCAGGGAGGCCTTGGGGCTCCACCAGGGTTCCCTCTCCCTATATCGTTGCCTCAAAACTCTTTCAAGATAGTAAAATTTGGCCACTGTATGGATGATATTATTTATGTCTCATCTCTTAAGTATCAAAGTATCATCCTTAATTGCCTGGTGTCCAGTACCTTAAAATTGCTATTTAATGTATTTTGCTTTTTTTTTTTTAATTTCAGGGAAGAAAAAAAACTCATTCAATCCATCTTGAATGAGTGTATGTATTAGTTTTCATGCTGCTGATAAAGACATACCTGAGTCTGGACAATTTACAAAAGAAAGAGATTTAATAGACTTGCAGTTCCATATGGCTGGGGAGGCCTCATAATCATGGTGGAAGGCAAGAAGGAGCAGGTCACATCTTACGTGGATGACAGCAGGCAAAGAGAGTTTGTGCAGAGAAACTCCCATTTTAAAACCATCAGATCTCCTGAGACCCCTTCACCATCACGAGCACAGCATGGGAAAGACGAGCCCCCGTGATTCAACCATCTCCCACCGGGTCCCTCCAACAACATGTGGGAATTATGGGAGCTACAAGATGAGATTTGGGTGGGGACACAGAGCCAAATCATATCGGGGTAGAAGGGTATTAAAGAAAAAGATTTTCTGACACTTATTAAAGCAGGAAGAAACATGTTATTCAAGATTATCGCAATAGGTATCAAGACTGTGGCAACAGGATAGAGGAAATGGTTGAGCTCAACTCTGAATACAGCAAAAACCACTGGAGATTTATAGCCAATGAGCAGAATGGGAGGAGAAGAGTCAGTGGATGGAAAATTACTAAGAGGAGAAATCAAAGGTGGGAGGATTTTCCCTAAACTGACTTAGCAGGACTCTTGTCACAACTGGACCAGGCAGGCTGAAGACAGGATGCAAGGACAGAGCTTGTTGAAAAGAGGCCTCAGAGGAGCTCGTCTACAGTTTGGTCAAGGGAGGGTCTTTCCTGGTCCCTCCTTTTGTTCAAGGGAAAAAGAGACCTTCTTCTTTCCTTTGAACAATATAAGTCAATTTCTCATTTGGTGACCTTTTTTCCATTAAGGACAAGCTGAGCCCCCTGTCGAAACTTGGTAGCAGGGCAACCAGTTGAGAACATTTCTAGATGTCAAAGCATCTTTTGATGATGGGGTGAGGACTACAGTGGCTATCCCATGGATTTTCTGGTTTGCAGTTTGAATGTCTTTGGCAATGGCATAGACATCAGTGTCATAGTCATGGTTATTTTTCCGAGCAGAGTGTAGAAGCATCCAACTTCATCTTGAAGGGCTTCTTTAGACAGTCACAATAAAGATCTGGGAAGTTAGGTTTTAGTTCTCATTGATGCCAAATCAGGACAGTGGGAGAAAAATTTAAAACCTCAGTTTGGAGAGTGGTAGCCAGATAGTAAAGGGAACTAGAAGAACTGAGAATCTGGTAAGGACTAACAAGCTATGCATGATGACAGCATCCCATTCAATTTACAAGTAGATAACAAAACCTGAAAGATAAGGACAGGACCAGAATCATAACCCGTAAGAAGCTGCTATAGTTTTTATAAAATATCTTTCTACTGTCATCCCCCTTTTTTGATCCAAGTTAACCAAAGTAAGATTATTCTTGTTTACAAAGTAAGTCTTGTCTCATTACATTTGACCTACTTATTTACATAATTGCAGCAAGAATGGCAACTGACCATATAGGCTTTTTTAAGTTTCCATTGCTGGAACTTTTTACAAGTAATCTCAGATTATGCTTTCAAGAGTTCTTGAAGCTATAAAGCCAAGTCAAGCACTACCAGGCCTTATCTGCAATGCCTAGAGATTCAGATGGGTTCCTCTCTTCTTGAGGTCCTAAAAATATTCTGAGTTTCTTTGGCCTGCCAGAAAGTCACCTTCCTGACTCAGCTGCGAGGTGGGGACCTCCATAAGCCAGGTTCCAGGCGGGCTTTCCAGGAGGCCTTCATACGCATTGGCTCCATAAACTTAACCTTAGTTCCTCGAAACTGTCTGTTCATATGTGATTTTATGTCTTCTTCTCAGTTGGAAATGCAGAAATCACCCGACTTCTGCATTGATCAGGCTGGGAGCTGCAGACCGGAGCTGTTCCTATTTGGCCATCTTGGAACGGACCCCCATGTCTTATTCTCAAATAAGACATTTTAGTTAAAGCCTTGATTATCTAACCAATTTTTAAAATTATGTTCCGTTACAAAAAGGACAGATTCTTACTGAACCCATATAAAATATTATATCACCATTGATATGGTTTGGAT